GAAGGCACAAACACCTGTGAAAGGTTGTATGTCCTGAGAACCAATGGGCACTGGTTAAATCTGGTTTTTTTTTGGGGGGGGTGGAGGGGAATGAGGCCACAGCTTAGGGACACTCAATGGCTGGATGCAATGGTTTTAATGTGAGAGGAGTCAAGGGACTCGAGAGACAAGAACAATAGCAGAGGTGAGGACACACCTATATTTAAACAATCCTTAAGTGGCTTTGAACTCACAAGGCTTTGGGGCCCTCTTCCATGCTAGCTGGTCACTAACACTGGAAAGGTAAGCCCCTAACCCAGGATGAGTCATGTAGGCAGCCTAGACTCTTCTGTTTTTGTTTTTTGCTTGTTTGCTTGGTTGGTTGTTTGGTTTTTTGAGACAGGGTTTCTCTGTGGCTTTGTTTGGAAGTTGTCCTGTTTGGAAGTTGTAGACCAGCCACCACTGCCCAGCTGACTCTTTTGTTTAGGTTTTTTTTTTTTTTTTTTCTAAGACAGAGCCACAATTCCCAGCCCAGGTTGACCTTGACCTTGTATTATAATTCCCCTGCTCCAGTCCACAGGGTACTGGGATTGCAGGTGTTAGCATTTCAACATCACAACTGTCCCGTCCAGATTAACTGTACTGAGGCCCAGCCCTTCAACTGCTACACCAACAGTCCCTGAATGACTATACTGACCTGAAAGGAGGCTGCCCTGGGACCAAGTGCTTCCAGTGTTCCCCAAACCCTTTCTCCTCTACCACACTCATTCTCCACAGTCCTTCGTGTCAAACGTCCAAGAGCTGAGGAACAAATAACATTAAGGAGCCGTAGCTAGTGAAGGCCAGCCAGCCTCCTGTCCCACTGCTCAGTGTAAGTCCTGGCCACTGAGTCATTCACCCCACCTGACTAGTCCACAACAAGACACATAGACAGGGATTGGTAGCCCAGCTATCTCCTGTCCAAGCCTCATGAAACGTCAGTCCCTGAATACTGCAAAGCCTAGCGGTGGGTGAGCAAGAACTGGATATAGTATAGATACCACAGCGCACCAAGAATCCCGAAAGGGACAGGTACGCAGACACTCAGCCACAGGAGAACCTGGCGGTCCGAGAAGTCAGGCTACCCTGGCCGGGGCACTCTGCCCAAAGCACAGCAAGCCTGGCACACCTGCCTGCTGCAGGGCTCCTCCCTGCAGTCCTCCCTAGATGAAGAGCTAACAAGGGCCTCCGGCAGCGCCTAAGAGGAACTGCTTCCTCCATTCCCCTTCAGGGAGCTCAGAAAACTAAACACAAAGCTCCACAGGGGCCCTGCTGTCACAGAGACAAAGATCCGCTTGGGTGGAAGCAAAGGACAACCTCACAGCGTTCAGACACAGCCTCTGCTTCTGTCCCCTTTTCCCTTTCTCACCGGAAGCCTCCGTGAGGAGCTCCAGGACTGCTGACAGCGAAGCCCCTCTCCAGCCTGTCCTCACGGAGGTCCTGTTTCCCAGAAACTGAGATCCCAAACCTGCCAAATCCACATCTCTCTTCAAGGACACTTAGTCACCATGGACCACAAAAGATCCAAACTAACAGGTGATCCAAATTTGTGTTAACATGAGGTCACCTCTCAAACACCTTTAAGAACTGACTCTCCAGCTACTTCAACCTCTTTCTCACCTGGAGGGAAATTTTCCACTCTATGAGGAAACCCAATGTTCCTTGGGTTACTTCGTCCTAGCTGTTTGCTTGTAGCCCTAGGAATAGAATGCAGGGCCTCAGCCATGGTAGGAAAGAACTCTGATCTGACCCATATCCCCAGACCAGCCAGAAACCTCGATGTCAATGCCCAGTGTTGCCACCTAATGGCCAGGGAACCCTAGTGCATCTCCTGGGCCTCAGACTCCTCCAAGTGTGAAATCTCACTATTTATCTGACGTGAAGGTCAGTTAAGGCAATACCTGGGAAGGGCTCAGGACAAACCTGACATAAAGAGCTCTTAAAAGTGAATACAACAGCCAGGAGGAAGAGGCAAGCAGATCTCAGCGAGGTCAAGGTCAGCCTGGTCTACAAAATGAGTTCCAAGACAGCCAGGACTGTTGCACCAACAGTCCCTGTCTTGAAAAAAAAATCATAAAAAAGTGAATACACCAAAAAAGTAAACACAGGCCAGAGAGATGGCTCAGCAGTTCCCCCAAACCTGGTGGTGACCTGAGTTCAGTCCCTGAGTGTGACATGCTGAAAGAGAGACCTTCACCTGACACTAACATCCTCCCAACTATACCTGTGCCTGGCCCCTTTGGAGTCCTGTGACATGTCCCCTCCCTTCCCCCACATCCACTTCTTGCTACTGTGGCTGCGCGCGCACACGAACACACACACACACACACACACACACACACACACACACACACACATTAGGTCCCTCAGCATTAGGTTCTACCCACTGCTTTACTTCCTGGTGGGGTTCCTTAGAGTCTGTGGAGGGCTCAAGAGGGATAACCCAACATACAGCCTGTGGCAGTTTGAATGTAAACCCCCTCCACAAACTCATAGGGAGGGGCACTACTGAGAGGTGTGGCATTGTTGGAGAAAGAATGTCACTTTGAGGTCCCTTTTGCTTGAGTGTCTCTCAGTGTCACAGCCCCTTCCTGTTGCCTTCTGGTCAAGATGTAGCCAGCACCACAATTGCCTGCATACCACCATGATCCCCGCCATGATGGGCTGAACCGCTGAAACTGTAAGCAAGCCACCCCAATTACATGGTCTCCTTTATAAGAGTTGTCTTGGTCATGGTGTATTTTCATAGCAATAGAAACCATAGACATTACCTTTGGCATACTCAATACTTTGAAGAACACTAGAAGGCCTCGAAACCAAGGTCCCACTCACCTCTCTCCTGTCCAACACTAATGTCCCCTTCCGAGGCAGGTGGTACAAACTACACAGCTTCTGAATTGCTCCAGCTTGCTTTCTAGCTGTTATCTGTCAATCCTCTCTGCTTTATTATTTCTACATGTTTATATATTATTATTATTGTTCATACTTTATTATCCCCTCTATTTCACTAGCAGTACAAATTATCAGAAAATTCAACTTTTCAAAAGCCAAAACAAATGGCTCTCTGTATGCTGCCTATTAATATGGCGCCAGGCCCAACAGTGAGTTTCCATGTAGACAGAGTCTCAACTAATCCTTATAAGGCAGCTCAGTCCTTAGTTCACAGACAGGGAAGAAGGTCAAGGTAAAAGATGAGGGTGGTAACAGGACCAGGCTGTGTCTGGCTCTCTCTTTCCACCCGCTCTATCCTAAGCTAAAATGACAGCAACAGATGGCCAGTGGAACCTAAGAAGGCTTTGGCATCAGGGAAATTAAAAACATGAAGAGATGGAGAGAATGGATATGGGGGTGGGGGCTTAGGCATGTCAGGATGTAAATTATTGTGGGGTGCCCCTAGATCCCCTTAGACAGTACTGCCCCCAAACCAAACCCGCATGCCAACACAGAGCACAGCTGCCTCAGGAATGTCACATGTGCTCTCTCATTTGTCAGCAGCGGAAGCTAAGTGGAAGCTAAGGCTGGCATGTGGCCTTACCTGAAAGCGTAATTTTCCCTTTCATACTTCTCTGCTGAAAGAAAGGGATTCCCCAGTTGACGAGATTTGCTCAAGCTGTTTCTGGAAACAGCTATCAAAGCTCAGGCAGGAGTTCAACTATGCAAGCCTCCAACCCATTAGGAGCTACCACATGTGGGAATGATAAATGTGAGACTGCTGTGTGTCAACCGAGCCATCGGTGACCATCAAAACCACAGCAAAGGCCCAAGTGCGGACAGAAAAACCCGTAAACCGTTTTAGGCCAACTATACTTTTCCAGAAGGTGAATTACTACTCTCTTTCCTAGTAACATGCAGCAGGGTGGAGGAGGCAGGTCACTGAAGCAAGAGCAGGGAGGAGCCCTGAGTCAGTAGAGGGGAGTGTAATGAGAGAAGGCTGTGCTTAATAAGCCCCAGGGGGCTCTGCTGTTTTGTAGATGAGGAAGATAAGATCAAAATGCAAGCCTTTCTCCGCTTTACTCTAGTTTTCCAACGTGTGGACTGCAAACAGCATTAACACTAACTTTCTAGAAACACACACACACACACCTAAAACAAAAGAGAAATATCTCCCTTTCCAAAAATCAAAGACGAACCTTTTCCTTAACTTCTAGATCAACCAAATTTTACCAATCCATATTATTAGCTAGCAGCTACAGTCTCTCCTTTCTCGCTCACCTTAAATGGCAAGAAAAACAACTCAACCGCAGCGTTCAATGCAAGTCATAAAAGCTAGTGGTTTCCTGCCGCTGCCGCTGGCTTCCGAAGAAATACCGAGGCGCCCCTACATGATAGTAGAGGGGGTGGCCTGTGCGCGGTGTGACTGACTGCCTGTGGGACAGGGCCACCTGTGACCAGGATGTCTAGCAAAAAGTCCTGGAATGGCATCACCTGAGGCCTCAGAAGTGGCTGGCTCAAGGATGGGTCCAGACTCCCCTGAAAGCTCACTGGGCAGGAAGAGGCATGTGGGCCGTGTGCCTGGAGCCTAGAAAGAGGCTGGCACCGAGCATGGGCTCCAGCGACACTTTTCCTCTCAGCCCAGGCCTCAGGCCGGTTCCTCCTTGTGGGAAATGGGGGCGAGCTGCTGTGCGGAATTTTCCCCACCGTGGGGTTCCCATTTCCCAGACGGCCACTGGGAATCTAGCACCTCAGAGCTCTTCAAAGCCAGGCCAGCGAGTCCAGATCCAAGTCCCAAGGCCGGTGTTGGGGGTGGGGGGCAGCTCAGGGGGTACCCAACCAAAGGACATCGAGGGCTTCGACTCTGGAGGTTCCTCCTCCAGCCCCCGCTAGCCCGGGACGTAAATGATCCGGAAGAGACCTTCAGCCCCGCTCCATACCGCAAGCTGCAGTGGCCACGGGTGAGCCGCAATCCCTGCGAGCCATAATGTCCCCGGCCACAGCGCCTCCTGCGCTCGCGCTAGGCCACTCGGGCCCGCAGCACCCCTTACCTGTGGCGCCGGGGCCGGCCTCGGCCTCCATGCTCCTGCTCAGCGGGTATAGCCTCTGCCACCCAGACGGCTTCTATCCCTCCCCCATCCCCCACGGTCACCACCTCGGGCTCTCTTGGGGCTGCCCCGCCCCAGCCACCTCCCGGGGGTTTCCCCTTCTCACTCTTTGCCTCCGGGCCACGAGCGCTCTTTATCTTCTCCCCGAGGAGGACCGCGGCCCAGTGGTCTCATTACCAGACCTCGACTCCACAAAGATTACAAAGAACGGTTTTTGCTCCAAAAGAGTATATTATTGTCCTTGAACGACCATATACACACAGGCATACAGCCTCCTCCCCAGTGTCCCAACGATCAGTTGGCTAGGATCCCTTCACTTAGGCCTGTACTGGACAGATTTTTCCACCACGACCCTTCTTTCTATGTGCAAAAATCGTTTGCATTAACCCTTTTCAAAAACTTGGCATGGCTGAAAAATAGCAAAGACATAATAAACAGGCACCTAATTCAGGGCATCCACACGTCTCTTCTGCCCACTTCAGACTTTCCAACAGTCGGGAAACTACTGTGATCACGATTTATCAGATGTTACAAGTGGTGCTCATTTGACAAAGCAGAATTCAATGTCAACATTTTTTTCACCAGTATAATCAGCCTGTTTCAAAATATTGCTTTGGGAGGATGCAGGGGTGAATGATTTCAAATTTCACCTTCCAACCAATTATGGTGAAGACACACCTAAGGTCCCAACGCCCAAAGGGTTGAAGGATGAAGATTTGAGCCCATTAGCTGGCGAAAAGTCCGGGCAATCAAATGGACCCTGCAGGAAGTATCATGCAATAGTAACTGACCCAACACACAATACAATTCCGTGCTGGGTACACTCTAGTCAAGCCAGGATTCTGAACTTCACTCACAAAAAAGAATTTCAGAATAAGTTGGTGTGGCGCAGAGTCATAGTTTATTAGAAGCTTTTAAATGAAGACGTAAGGTTAGTAGAAAGATGGGTGTTTGGGGAAAGGAGTGGAGATAAGACACGTCCAGGTGGGTGTGGGCTTCTCAAAAGAGGTCTCTTAAGTGTCTACACAATACAGCCATGTTTTTAAGTGTCTTTAGTCATAAACTGCCTTCACAATATAGCCATGTGTGATCATGGAGGGCTCTGAAATCACATTATATAGATATGTGTGTTCTGTGTATATATCTGTGTGTGTATGTATGATCATGGAGGGCTCTGAAGTTACATCATATACATATACATATACATACATACATACATACATACATATATATATATATATACATATATATATATAAAATCATGGAGGTCCTCTGAAGTTACATCAACAACTTAACGAGATGGTAATGTGGTCTCAGGTGTCACAGAATTACAACCTATCATGTAGGTCACAAGGGTTGCACAGAAATTAAGGCGAGTGTTCCCAGAAAACTGCAGGTTTACAGCTGGGAGAAAATGATATTCACTTAGTCCTTAATCACAGCTTATTGATATTTTAACATTTCTATTGGAAAATATCTCTATAAAAGGGGACAAGAAAAGATGACAAGTGCAAAGGCCTGAGATGGCAGCAAAGCTCTTTTATAGCCTGCAGCCTTTGGAGAGAGAGTCTTTGATGATCAAGGGTGTTACTCAAGCTATTAGCATGTAGATCCAAAAGTTTCTTAATAGGCACTGTAAGGGCTTGTTACCATTTCCTAAAGATTGTTATTTTATACATTTTATATATAGAAGCTTCAAAATTATATGTCAGCCAGGCCACCGCCAGGCACACACTTTTTATCCCAGCACTGGGAGGCAGAGACTGGAAGATCTCTGTGAGTTCTAGGCCAACCTGGTCTACAGAGCTAGTCCTAGGATAGCCAAGACCACACACACACACACACACACACACACACACACACACACACACACAAACCCAAAAACAAAACAAACCAAACAACAACAAAAAAACCCTGTCTGGAAAAATCAAGTGGGGGTGGGGGGGAGAGGCTGGAACATTCCTTGCATTCCTTGCTTCTGATTCCTATTTCCAAACTCAATCTTGAGTTAGGTTTTTCCATTTTCTGTTTCTTAACTTTGTTTTAAAGGAAACTTTTTTTTTCTTTCTTTCTTTGTTTTAATTTTGAGTTAGGGTTTCTGTAACAGCTTAGGCTATCCAGGCTGGCCTCAAACTCAGAGGTCCACCTGCCTCTGCTTCCCAAGTGAAACAAGACATCCTCATGCATGGGAGGTGAAACACCGGAGGGGAGTTCCTCAAGGCAGAAAGTGAACAACTCCAAATAGCTTCAGGAAGTCCCTGACCAGGGTTACTAGGCCTTTCCCTCGAAGAGTAAAGAAATGGTGAAGACTGCTGAGTCAATCTCAGATAGCCTAGAGGAGTAGAGAGAGACCATAGAAACTGCCTAAAACTGCCTAGACAGCTCAGGCCAACTGAGCCACCCCGAAAGGACACCCTCTCTCCTGCGGGTTGTGTAATGTGCTCCAGGGTTCTGCATTTTGTGAGTTGTCACCTATGCTGGGGTGGGCTTTGGTGATGGGGCTATCTTTATTTCTGCTCTTGTTAGTCACCCCTCACCCATGTTCCTGTAAGTAACTCAATAAACTCATGGATTCGAGCTGGACTTGGCTGGCTGTACTTTGGTCTGTCTTTTGTCCTTTGGTCTGTTACCAGTTACTTATGTGGGATGAGTAGAAGTTTGTTTATACAACACTGTCCTGAGAGAGATGGGTCAGTGTTGTTGGTAAAGGTGCTTTGCAGTAAATCCTGATGACCTAAATTTAATCTCCAGAACCAATATGAAAGTGGAAGGAAGCTGGGCGTTGATGGTCCATGCCTTTAATCCCAGCACTTGGGAGGCAGAGGCAGGCAGATTTCTGTGAGTTCCAGGCCAGCCTGGTCTACAGAGCTAGTTCCAGGATAGGCTACAAAGCAATACAGAGAAACCCTGTCTGGAGAAAAACAAAAAACAAAAACAAAACAAACAAAAAAAAAAAAAAGTGGAAGGAGAGAACTGAATCCCTAAAATTGTCCTCCGACCTTCACACTTGCACCCTGGCCTAGGTACGAATGAATACAATAATAATGTTTTAATTAAAAAGTAAAAAGAGCTGGGTGGTGGTGGCATATGCCTTTAGCCCCATCACTTGGAGGGCAGAGTCAGGCTTATCTCTATGTGTTCAAGGCCAGCCTGGTCTACAAGAGCTAGTTCCAGGACAGCCTCCAAAAACCACAGAGAAACCCTGTCTCGAAGGAAAAAAAAGTAAAAAGGAGGAGCTGAGAGATGGCTCAAAAGTTAAGAGTACTAGCTGTTTTTCCAGAGGTCCCATGTTCAATTCACAGCACCCACATGGCAGGTCACAACTTTCTGTTAACTCCAGTTCCTTGGGACCTGACACCTTCACACCGATGCACATAAAAGAAAGTTAAAATAAATTATAAAAAAAAAGGCATTTTTTATAGTTTGAATTACCTCCTGAAACACACACACACACATATATAAACTTCCGTAATATATATGTATGCTTCTGTTTGCTATTTCTGCATCCACTTCACGTCACCTGAATTGCCATGGCTTAACCAAGTACTTGGATTTCTGAGACATCTAGCCCCAGAGTCAGCAAAGGACACTTTCCTCCAGATAACTTACACATTCCTTGACAAATCTACCCAACAGCTATCACAAAGGCCCCTCCCTTTCACTAAATACCTTATGGTGACTAATTGTTGGTAAACAAAAGTTTTAACTTAGGGCGTATGCTGGGCTCCTATCCAGCCCCTTCTGAGGTCTAACCATGCTCAGAAGTTATCCTAGACCTCCTAAGCAGACAGTCTGATTGGCCACAAATGAGTTGCTGTATTTCCACGTCTTCTTAAAACAGACTGAGCCTCTTTAGAGCCCTGGGCCCTAAGCCAACATAAAAGAAAAATGCCATTTATATCTGTGTCAAGAAGAGGGGCCCTGCAAAGACCTAGCCATGTGTTTGATATGGCATCTGTGTCCCAAGAGGATTCTTAAGTACCATACTAAAGCCTTCATCTGGCCTTACTTATCAACACAGGAACTTCCTCTGTGTTAAGAATACAGCTGTTGAGTCCTTCCCAAGGTATTAGAGAAATTCAACAGAAAGAATCCAGCACCTAAACCAATAGGCCTCACAAGCTCCTGGATTTTAACGAGTAAACAAACTCCTGTTGAAACAGTTGTTACTATTTGGTGAAGGAGATGTACTATTAAAAAAAAAAAAAAAAAAAAAAAAGAGTGATGAAGCAAGGGTTAGTAAAAACAGGGGAAACATGACAGACAAAATCCACAGCTGAATCTTTGACCTTCAGCATGTGGTGGATGAGCCTTCTTTTCTGATGTGAACGAGGAGACTGGCAGGAGTTTGAAAACAGGAAATAACATGAAGGCATGTGAGTCAAGAATCTATTAGACAAGATCAGGTGCACTTGGGCAGCATTCCCAGAGACAAAACCATCCCTGTGTGAATCTGGTACCTCGCAAACATAGAGCAGAACTCTGGGGCTTCCCTAGATGGGTTCAAGCCCACTTTGGAGGGGGTCTTTCCAAATGGGTGCAGAAGTCAGAGCCCACCTCGTTCTGTACAATCAGCCAGCAACTGCAGGCCAAGGCTGGGGAAGGCCAAACCTGAAAAAAGGAATCCATAATTGAGCCAATTCATACCTGGTGAAAATTCGTTGCTATAATTAAAGTAACAGTGTTTGCTCTATTTATTCAGCATGCTTTTCTGCATGAGCCTAACCAAAAAAAAAAAAAAAAAAAAAGTAAAGCAATAGGGTTTTGATTAATATATATATATATATATACATATATATATATATATTCTGTATCACATAATCTTTATTTAATGTATGTGTGTGTTTCAATGCATGCAGATACACAAATATATGTAGGGGTCCATGCAAGTGTGTAAACTTATGTAGAGGTCAGAGGACTACTTTGTGGGTATCATTTTCAAAATTCCCACCCAATTCCTTTGAGTCCATTTTTTTGTTTGGCTTTTGTTTTGGTTTTTTGTTTTGTTTTTGTTTTTTTTTTTTT